TGTTTTCTGCTTCGACAGCAACGAGAACACTCTTTCTTCTGGGATTAGATATCTTCACTCCAATATCGAAAACTCTCCAGTGAGAATATGAGAATTGTGCTGTTCAGAATCGAAACATTTTTTAAAGATGCAATACTTGCGTCTTGACATTCGTCCCACTTCCTTCCCAACAAGGGCCATATGTCGAAAATACTGAGCATTAAAATTTCTGCTTCAATTTCAGCGTAGAAAAGCGAGAAGTCATAAGAACCGTTATATCCTGAACATGCAAGGAACAGGTTTCTCGATTACTGTGTGACGGTTCAAACGTGCCTGGATTGATCTCGCTCTGGATAGAGACCAATAGAGGGCTCTTGTGAACACGGTAATGAATCTTCGTGTTCCATAAGATATTGGCAAGTTTTTGAGTAGCTGCACAACTGGCGGCTTCTCAAGAAGGGCTCAGCCTCACGAAATCAGACAAGTGCAGCGTGTTAAAATAATGTGGGGTCACGGTTTACTTGCTTGTAAGCAGCCCGACTGGAAGCTGACGAAATATGATCCAAAAGAAGGCCAAATGAAACACACACCGTTGCATTCTTCGTCACATATGTCAGCGTAACATTCACAGGACCAGGGCTCATACAGACAGACAGACAGACAGACACCTGAAAACTTCAGTCATATACTTGTGCTTTTATCAGCTGCACTAATCTACAGTGCTAGATTAACATAATAAATGAATTAATTCTCGTGTGTCGATTCCAAATTTGGACACACAAAAAGAATTCTATCACGTCACAGTTTCATGTAGTGAATTCTGGGACAAGACAGCGATTTTTTTTAACTCTTGTACTTTTTATTTTAGAGCCGGAATAGCTCAGTCGATATAGCGACTGGTTACGGGCTGGACGGCCGAGGGGTCGCAGTTCGAGTCCTGGAAGGGGCAAGATTTCTCTCTTCTCTACGTAGTCCAGACCGGTTCTGGGGCCCACCCAGCCTCCTATCGAATGGGTACTTGGGGCTCTTTCTCCAAGGTAAAACGGCAGGGACGTGAAGCTGACCACTCACCTCCAAATCCTACCGAGGTCAAGAATACGTGGATCTATATGTCCACTCCACTGTCTTCGCTCGCTCGGAAGCCGAGATCGTGGGTTCGAATCCCACTCAGGGCATGGATGTTTGTGTGCGTTTTTCTGTGTTTGTGTACAGGTAGANGCCCTTTACCTTTTCCTTCTTGTTCTTATAATTTTTTCAACTAAAATGTAAGAAGATGTTCTGTGTGTTGTTATAAGTTTATCGTCATTCAAATAAAACAGTCAGATTTTGTCTGTCATGTCCGAAATCCGTTATTACAAGTGTTTACTATACTTCGATTCCAAGCCTCTGTAATTTACGTGTTCCCTCAATGTAAGATTACGCGTTTCACAACCAGAAAAAATAGCGCAGTTGTCATTTTGCATTTCCTGGTCTCCAGCGTTTTGAAATCTAGACAGAATAATCTGAGATTGAGTTATAAACTTCGTGATATAACTCAATTTTAATAATAATTAATTAGTAGGTCGGCAGAGGAATTTCTTTCCAGCTACCGTCATGTTTCTTTATATTATACGGAAAATATTCTCTCAGTGAAAGTTGTACAGGACCTACTTTTTGAACATCATTATTACACAAAATTCCAAGGCTCTACATTACGTGACGCTAGTGTAGCTCTGAAATTACATGTTCTCGTTATTTACGGTAAAAAAGGTAAAGTTATCCCTGCAGCAGGCCGAGGAGGACCATAAATTTGTGAGACGTCGAGACTTCCACATTTTCTAGACAACCGGCTCATAGATGGCGGTAAGGCTGTCAGCCTTACGCACCGGTCGCGCTTTACTCCCCCAGGAAGATTCCTGGTACTCATTTCTGTTAGAGGCTGAGTCGACCCCAAGGACAAAGTGCGGCCGGAAGGATTAGGTAAATTGAAAAGCAATCCAATGACCTCATCGGGGATCGAAGCAACGACCTTCCGGCTTATAGCATAATTGTAGCATAGTGTCTCAGCCAACTACGATACTGCGTGTCTTGGACGCTATATGGCATTTGAAAATAAAGTAGTTTCGTTAAGTAATCCAAGAACTCTTCTAACAATGACAAAGATCTATAGTTTTTGTTCTGCACCACAATATGACACACATTAGAATATGACGTCATACAGGGTGTGTCGCCCTTGGCGGTCCACCTACACTAGGTCAGAGATCCCTGCAAGGAACGTGGATTTCAATTTAAATCTCTACAGTCCCAATCTGGCCATTCCTCCGGCCTTGGCATTCAAAACGCCTACTAGCATATGATTATGTGAACTATGTGAGATAGATGTTTTACATTGTGTTCTTCCGGGTTTATACAGTGTAGTATCCTAGGTCGTTACCGACGTTTCGGAGGAATTTACTGCCTCCATTTTCAGTTTTGAATTACATGGCGTTAAGATCAGAAGATCATAATCGTTATGTTCACCGCCATGTAAACCACACATCACACATACTGGACGGACATAAATCAAAATGGATCTTACCGAGCGTTGTTTGTTGCCGCGGTAACGCGTCCGACTTGCATTGGGAAGTTGTCTTTGGCGGCCATCGATTATTCTGAGTTCCTTCGCTATTTTCCTCAATTCGTCTAGTCGTATGCAGGGAGCCTCTCTCCACGTCCTTTTTTTTTCCTTGGCACTGCAGCCCCAGTGGGCCTAAGCCCACCTCCATGAACGTCTCCGTTCACTTCGGCTTTTCTTGATCTTACACATTCGGTAGGACTCCTTGGGCGGATGATCAGCTCGTCGCAAGGCCTCTGCCTGTACACAAACACAGAAAAACGCAAACACACAAACTAAACATCCATGCCCTGAGTAGGATTCGAACCCACGATCCCGGTTTCCAAGCGAGCGAAGACAGTACATGCCTTAGACCGCTCGGCTACCGTGACCGGCCAGATCGTACGTATACCGTCTATAATGAAACGATAACCTTATATGAACTACACTAAAATACAGGGTGTCTACAAATGTTCTGACACATTTTGATCTTTAATTCGGAAAATAACGAAGATAGAAATAAACTGGTTACATTGTTGGATTGAGAAACCCAAAAAGTTTTGTGTCTATTGTTAATAAAGTTGTACATATGTTCCATTTGTTGCACGTAAAATATCAAGACGATATTCGATTTCTTGCCAGGTTCGGGCAAGCATACCGACATCCACAGTGGCTATTGCGTCTCTTACTCTGGTTTTCAATTGATCGATGTCTCTCACCTGCGTCTTATAAACAATGTCTTTGACATATCCCCAGAAGAAAAAGCCCAGTGGGGTAATGTCACTTGATCTTTGGGGCCCAAGAAATTGGACCACCTCGTCCAATCCATCTTCGTGGAAAATGCTTGTCCAAATCATCACGAACTGTGGTGCTCCAATGAGGTGGCGCACCTTCTTGTTGGAAAATGATTTCGGGCTGAAGCGCTTCAATTTGCGGGAATACAAAATTCTGCAGTGCAGTTATGGGATTATTTATTACACTAAAAGTGCTTGTTGGCATGTACTGTCTTCGCTCGCTTGGAAACCGGGATCGTGGGTTCGAATCCCACTCAGGACATGGTAGTTTTAGTGTGGGTGTGTGCGTTTTTCTGTGTTTGTATACAGGTAGAGGCCTCGCGACGAGCTGATCACCCGCCCAAGGAGTCCTGCCGAATGCGTGAGATCTAGAAAAAGAGAAGTGAACGGAGAAGTTCATGCAGTTAGGCCTAGGCCCACTGGGGCTGTAGTGCCAAGGAAAAAAGGTGCTTGTTAAATACTTTAAAATGTTATTAACATTATACGGGGTGGAGCAGAGGAAATGCCTATTTATCACATAAGAATAACTTTGTTGATTTTAAAGATAAATCCTTTTTAATTACACAAAAATGCTGTGTTCTCTACGCGGTCCGGACGATAACGATGTGATGCAACAATAGAAGTACTGTTGGGAAATGTATTTTCTGTGCGACCCGTGCCGAGGTTATATAACGAGGAGCAGCTGCTATTACGGGAGAGTCTTCAGACGAGAGTGAAAACAATAGGTTGGTGCGAGGTGGCCTCCACCCTGGGAGTGAGTTGTGAGATATTCGCCAGACAGTAAGGACGTGAAAACGGAAGATACGGTGTTGGAAGCCGTTACTAGGCGACTCTCAATGAAGATACAGCAGGCTGAGAAGATTTAATGCGCGCTGTAATGAATCTTATGGTGTGTGAACTAGCGCTAGTGCTGCAGTTACTTGTAGTTACGTTCTGTAACAGTTGAATAAAAACAGTCACAAATCCAAACCCGTCTATAGCCAGTATATCACGTGACAATATCATTCCGTTCTCTCCTTTTTCTTCCTTTTCTTCTCTCCTTCACAAGACAACACGTGAAGCCTGGGATCCCGTTGTCTCAATGTTTTAATGACGTCAGCTCAATGATGCTCCAGAAATGGCGACTCAAACTGTAATCTCCTGCGCTCATTTCGTGTTATTGTGTCACCGATTAATTATATCGATACTGGGCCGTTATGTGTCAAACCATGCCTTTGATACTATTCAAAATGAGCACCTTGAACTATAAGCCTGATTTTGTTTTTCTCTCGGCTTGAATACATTACATAATGAGTTCTGTGTAGTTAAACGATGCCAGCACTGTCCAGCGCCCTCTTATCCCATGACAAATTGAGGCCTGTCCTCATTCATGTGTAATGTGGGCTGGTTGCCCCTCGCCATTATGTTGTAACAAGAAGTTTTCTTTCAAATGCAATTTTTTTTATTCACCAACATAATGGATTAGAATTAAGATTATGAAGAACGATGTCTGCTGGAATGTGGTGCCAGGTAGATCTTGTATGAACCGACGTTTCAGAGGTACGTATCGCCTCCATCTTCGGGGTAGAAAAATCCGCGAGAGAAGAACCAGCGTGAGCAGGTTCATTTTCACCTTTATGTGAACAGTAGCTAATTCTTTTTATTTTGTATTTCAGGCGAATGCACCAACTGTGTGGACGAGGGTGTGACCTTGGCCGGCAACAGATGGACAATGCCGTTACTAAAACTGGGGGAAAAGCGATATTATCTCGGAATCTTCTTCAAGGTGAGAAACAAATATCAGTTCATCATCATTACAATATGTAAAAAAAAAGTAAAGCTATCCCTGTAGCAGGCCATGAAGGCCCATAGGGTTGTGAGACGTTGAGGGTCCCACATTATCTAGACAATCGGCTCAAAGATTGCGGTAAGGTTATCAGCCTTACGCGCCGGCCGCGCTTTACTCCCCAGGAATATTATTTAATTAATTCCTGGTAGTCATTTCTGTTAAGAGGCTGAGTAAACCCCAGGGCCATAGTGCGGCTGGAACGATAAGATCAAGTGAAAAAAAAATCCAACGACCTCATTGGGCCTTGAACCCGCGACCTTCCGGCTTGTAGCATAGTGCCTCAACCAACTACGCTTCCGCGTGCCCCTCATTACGATATGTATTAGGCAAAACGGTTGTTTCAGCATCTAATGTTGCTTCCTCTCCTCGCATCGTTTTCTTGGTCTTCCTATGCCTCTTCTACCAGACGGACGATAGTTATAAGCTTGAAGGGGGAAGCGAGATTCTTCCATCCTCTGCAAATCTATTTTTCATTGGTGTCTATGTTTCGAGTGTTGTCATTCACTAACAGATCTGTCTTAGTGGAACTTTAATTCCAGTTCATTATGACTATTCTTTTGCACTTTGTACATCGTGCTCAATTTTGTAAACCACTCTATGACAGATATTCGCTCTATTTCCGTCATTAGGTAAATATGTTGATGTTTCACACGCTTCCTCATATATGACTAACCTTGACTATGTCTCATTGGTATTGCATTCTGCTGTTACTCACTAGACCAATCTTTGTTACTGAATATCGAACAACAACTGAGTCTGTTCGACAGGTAACGCCGTTTTCGACAACACTGGCATTTCACGTTTGGGCCCTTAGTGCGCAAGTGTTCTCCACAAGATATCACCTGCACACTTTTATTTAAGTAGATATTCTCCGTGAATTACCGATATATAATAAAAATCGTTACTTCCATTTTAGCGAAAATGGTCATTTTGTATTTTGACGGCCATTTTCTTTTCTTGGAGCTGAATGTCTATGTTCATCAGGCAACGACACGTGAAACACGAATTCTTAAATGCCGAATGTGACAAAATCCGTCCAGAAATTTAGTCGCAAACGAAACACATATCAACATATATATAATCAAAACAAACTCCATAGCTTGTAGCCCTCAAGCGAACTATACCGTTCGAGCGACCGTCGCTTGTCGGCGAAGTTGTTGCCAACTTTAGCGGATAGAGGATGTCGCTTGGTCAGCGCAACGAATCCCCACGGCCGTTAATTTCGTTTTTCTAGACCGGAGCCTCTATTTCCTTGAAGTAGCTCCTCTGTTATCCTAACGAGGCTGAGTGGACCCCGTTCCAGACCCACTACTTCTCAGAAAATCTGGTAGCGCCCGGGGTCGAATCCGGGGCATCTGGATCCTTAGCCAGGAACCCTGACCACTAGACCACAGAGGCGGTCAACATATATATCGGTCAACAAAAGTGGAGCTCCGACATGTGTGTTTATGGCATAGTGCTTAAATAATTAAGCACAGGACAATTTTACCTTTTACCTTGCTGACGCAGAGTTCTGCTTCGAGGGACCAGAGACTGTCTGGCAGAGACTAACATAAGTAAGTTGATATGAAGAGATAGTAAAAGGTACGATTTGTAGGCGCGTTCACATATGCCTTTTACTTCTGTTGCATGAGTACATTAACGTAGTTAAGAATGGATTATTATACAGACTTTTGTAGATCTGTATGCCGACATAAAGACCAGAGGCGAAAGTGGAGCAGGGCTAGAGGGGCAGTCTCGCAGGAACACGTGTTAACGGGAACACCTCAGTCTCAGTCAGGAAATGTCTTCGAATATTAGACAGTCATCACTGAACTGATTACGAACTGTAGAACGAAGCACGAGCATAGACTCGATGTACTTATTATATGGTTTAAAATTAATGCACGCCTTTCATTTCATTAGTTTTGTTAATTGTTGTTAATTAACGGTCGACCGACCGAGCGACCGCCGCTTATCGGCGAAGTTAGTGTAAACGTTAGCCGATAGAGCGTGTCACATGGTCAGTGCAACGAATCCCCACGGCCGTTAATTTCGTTTTTCTAGACCGGAGCCGCTAGTTCCTTGAAATAGCTCCTCAGTTATCATAAGGAGGCTGAGTGGACCCCGTTCCAGAACCACTACTTCTCAGAAAATATGGTAGCGCCGGGAATCGAACCCGGGACCTCTGGATCTGTAGACAGGAACTCTGACCACTAGTCACAGAGGCGGTATAGTTCGCTTGCGGACTAAAACCACGGAGTTAATTTCCTCTATTTTATTCTCTTTGTGTTTCCATGGCGATATACAACTTCATTTGGACGAAACCTACAAAATAGCTGACTTTAATTGTTTAAGGAAAACGAGAGGTTTACTTTGTGCCTCTCAGGCATGAATCAAATTCAGAAAGAAATTCAAGTATATAGGCGAGATACCCCGTGCCGCAGCATGCAAAGTGTCGAAGAATTCAATTGGTATCAATGAAGACAGACAGGGAGAATGAAAGCTATTTCACTCTTGAATCTTAAGCTGGCAGTACCACAAGAGAACAGCGGGGCGCGCCACAGTAGCTGTGCTAGCGGAGACCAACTTGAAAAGTTACGCCAGCCGCGGAGATTAGATCTGTAATAACGATGCAAAAAGGATATATCTCCAGTGAATAGACTGGTTTAGGGAATATTAGTATCAGGAAAACGCTCACCTACCGGTCACGGTAGCCGAGCGGTCTAAGGCATGCACTGTCTACGCTCGCTCGGAAGCCGGGGTCGTGGGTTCAAATCCCACTCAGGGTATCAATATATAGTGTTTGTGTGTGTATATGTACAGGTAGAGGCCTTGCGACGAGCTGATCACCCGCCCAAGGTGTCCTACCGAATGTCTAATATCTAGTAAACCGAAGTGAAGCGGGGAGTTTCATGGAGGTAGGCCAAGGCCCAAATTGGGGCTCTAGCGCCAAAGGAAAAAAAAAAATACGTTCACATTAGTTGTACACTGTATTGATCGCTGTATATACAGTAGGGTATAATGACTCAAATTACTGACGTTCTTACTGATAGTTTTTTATTTACATTGATCAACTCTGACCAGTAGACCACAGAGGCGGTCAATAAACGAGGAACGTGTCGTAAGTAGAAAAGAAGAGAAATACAGACAACATTTTCGTAGAGAAGCCCGAAGGAAAGAGTCCACTTGGAAGTCATAATAAGAGATGGGAAAATAATATTAAGATTTGCCTGAAAGAGGTTGGAAAGTTATGTCCTGGATTCATTTGGCTCATGTCAAGGACCGGAGGCCTACGATAGTGACATTTCGGGTTCCACAATGTGGTTTCAGTTCCCTGACAAGTTTATCAGCGCTCTGCTCCTCGGTGTTGGCCAATTAGTCACTTTATCTTGTACGATAAGGACGAAGATTAAGGCCTATAAAATACATCAGCGATATAATTATAAGGCTATGTCATTTTTGCACCAAACCCAATAATTCTGCTAGCACGCCCATGACAGCCTCGGTACCAGAGACACCCAAACTGAAACGTAACGCTGCTTAGTCATATTTTTCGAAAGGTCAAGCATACGGAGACATCTGGTGGCCAACTGCAACTACGGGATAAACATATGATAACATATTCATGAAATTTTTAAGTTTAAGGTCTTTCATTCTGGTCCGTCACACTAACAANCTGTTTTGATTTTACAGTTTGCGTCTGTTCTTATAATATTAAGACATGTAAGTGTTTTGTATGTTCGCAGAGAAAATATTACTTTTAATATCACTGAAGCCACAGCGTCTGCAGTAGTGACAGTGTCAATAAATAATCCACAGATAAATGAGAAACCATTATATTGTGACAAGACTCCTGAAAGCCAGAGACAGACGTCATTTGGTAAGCAACGGCTAAGTTTCCGTTACAACAGATAGCACGAACGAGTCGTTACCAGGTAACAAGTTGCTAAACACGCCTTACCGTGGCAACGAACACGCAGATTACAACATAGGAACCCTTCAAGTATGTGTTCTCTTCGCGGTCCGAACCGGGCCATGAAAGGACACGTAAATGATTCGCAGGGGAGAGTCGTACTGAGTAACAGAAGACCAGAAACTAGAGACCAGTCGGAGAGCCACATAACAGTGAGAGATTCGTCGTCCAGAAGGAGTTCAATGTGTAAACTGTTATAATAAACTGTATTTGTAATGGAGACGTCCAATAAATTGAATCATCAAATCTAGATCCCACAATTATTAGTCACGCTTACTCCTTATACGTGAGAGTATACAAGTAAATGTGTCCCTGTGCTTAATTAATTAAGCAACACGCCGAGAAGACGTATGAAGGACTGGAGGATAGCTCCACCATTCTTGAGCTTGGTAGTATATGGAGATAAGTGGTCAGCTTCACCCGCCTGTCGCTTTATTCACGGGAAAATAGCCCGCGGTTATCCGGATATCACCAAAAGACGGATTCAATTTTTGGCGTGCCTGTGTTCCCAGCCCAGCTCTAGGGCATTAGCCACCCTTTAGAACATCGATATGTTTTTATTTCTGTAAAGTCACGCGGAATTCTGGGAGAAGAAACATTTGACAAATGGCGCAGGATCAATGGTGCCAACTCACCCACAGAAAACGTTTTGAAAGTCAGTCAAGCTGATCACTACCTTAACTGTTTTATGTTCGTGTAAGCAGCCAATCACGTACAGAGAAACCCCATCATTCTTCTCCCATGTAATTTTCTACAAAGAAAAATCACATTAATAGGAAAAACTACTCCAAGATATCCATTGTCATTGTTCCAGTAAAAGTTCGTTTGAATTCCGACTAAGAAAGTAATTTCAATCTTTACTTTCTTTTTTTAAGGAATGTGACTGAAAGTAAAAGGTAATTTCACATAAATCGCTGATTGTTTATTCATTCAACTTATTTCAATTACGGAAACAAAATATGATTTCACAATTATGGCGCAATACTCGAAACTTTGAAGACCTTTTCCTCTTCACTCGAACACTGACAGCAGAACCTAAGAGTTCTGCAACTGGCAGGCAACCAAATTCGTAGTAGAACAATTGTAACGCAGTTGCCCAGTTTGAATGCAGTCTATCAGTCGAGAGGATTATGTATTTCTGAATATTAACTCTCGTTTCTGTGGCGTTGTTTTTTGATATTGGCTGTCGAAACTTGGCAACTTTTTGACCGTGTTGTGCTTTCTTTACTTATTTCATCGTGTCTCATAGTGTCTCCTAGTAGCGAACAAATTAATCTTCATACCAGTGATACTGATAGTTTTGGCCGTAACAGCCTTGAGATTCTCCCTAGTCCGTCCAATCGGATTCCTTTATCTACCCTTAATTATATTTATGGCACCCATCCCTTTCAATTAAGTCCTTTTTATATTATCACGTGTATGAGTGACTATAGACGAGGTATGGATTGGTAAATACATTTATTGATCACTTATAGGTCGTAACTACAAATAACTATAGCACTATTGCTGATTTCAACATTTTACAAATCACTACACTCCTCCAGCCTGCAGTGTCTTAACTAGTCGTTGCTTAGTAACACCTCTCAACAATGGAGATTCTTCAGCTTTTGTCCTTACGTCGTCACTACCCGGCGAATATACCACAACTGAACTGTCAACTTAATTACAGAGCCATGTCTTCTCAGACTCGCTTGCAGAACTCAACTGACTGGGTTGAGTCGAGTCTTATGTTACGACCCACAGAGAACACCGCCTGCATCACCTCTTCTATTGTTGTCTGACGTCATCGAGCACGCGTATGTTGCGGGCGCTACATAGCAATGGCTGTACGCGACACGTATCGTGACACCTCTATTGTTGCGTGCGGCCATCACCTAGCAACGGCTGATGTTAAAGTCACCTCTTAGCAACGGGTCTATACGCCACAATATCATGCAATGCTGTATAGTCTGAGCTAACAAGTGCATCGTTAAGTAGACCATAAATAAATATCAGCAATATTAAGGGGTTGTCTAAAATAGTTGAGAGAATGTATTGTTGATATTATTAGAGGAGGGATTTATGATATATATGATTCCCGGCGCTACTAGATTTTCTGAGAAGTAGAGGGTCTGGAATGAGGTCCACTCGGTTCACTCGGCCTCGTGAGGATAATTGAGGAGCTACTTGAATGGAATATTATCGGCTAAATGTCTAAATTATCCAAAAAACCGAAACTAACGGCCGTGGGGATCCCTTGCGCTCACCACGTGACACCCTCTATCAGCAAAAACTTGGCACTAACTTCACCGAGAAGCAACGGTCGCTCGCTTGGTATAGTTCGCTTGCGGACTACAGGCCACGGAGTTCCGCTTTTTAGTTTTATGTACATACTAAATTTAATAAAGATTAGTTCAGCCATTCATAATTTAAGGGGGGAAGAGATATACATGCAGACATACAGACACACAGACAGCAAGGTGATCTCGTAAGCTTGCTTACATTTTTCCGAAATAAACAAACTAGGCTAAAAATAAATAAACTTGGTTAATAACATATATTATAAGTAGTTATTATGCAGTCAGTCTATCAGTCAGTGACAGACTTATTTTTTAAGTCCTTAGTCTTTAGTTAATTCATTAGTTTTTTCGTTATGCTAACACGGTTAGTTAGGTTAATCGGCGATGCAGTGGCCACATGATCCTGTGTCATGCTCAATAATAGCTGAGGTGCGTGCTTATAGTCACACTGTCTAATTCTGCAGGACAATAAGGAGCAAGAATAAACTTGGCAACAGACAGGTCATGTGTTTGGCAAGATTATGCTAACCTTCATGAAGTTGAGGCAGGGCAGAATGGGGTGAAGGGGAAGGGTGAAGGGTATGAGGCGTGTTCCTTCAACGGGCCGAATTTTCAGTGATCAAATTACTAGTATCTTACCTTACATACTTTACTTTACTTTACTTTACTTCATTAGATGCGTTATAGTTTACACCTAGGCGCGCACCGACAGCCTGCTAAAATTACTGTTATTTTTTTAGTTTTCTCTACCTCTCGAAAAACAGAATATTCAGAAATAACAAACATAAGATAAATTTTTAGGCAGTTGTAAAAGTGTGTCTAACATCAGAATAGTAAAATCATCTTCCCATATAAATGTCATTATGTCCGTATAAATCATGTAACTACAGACAGACATTAAAACCGTTTTGTTAGTGTTTATGGCTCCATCACTAATAATAACGGGTTATAGATTGGACGATTTGATTTATTGACACTCTTTTACAATCAGTTGGAATCAAAATCAATTACAGCGCTATCGCTAACCTACCCACTTCACGAATCACTAGGACTTGCTCCATTCTTGTTCTTTATTCTACTCCACTATACTCCTACAGCTTCTACAACTGAACACTCAACTCAACTACTGAACTGAACTGACCTGACCTCCCAATTATTTTTCACCACTCGTTACATAGACTCGGGTCTGACCTCGTGGAAAACATGTGTCACGTGTCAGAATGCATGTTTAATGGTCCGTTGCCTAGCATTGGGCTTAGCGCGGATAGCATAGAAAACACTTCTTCCAGTACCTTTTCTGTTGCTTGCGAGTATTTCGGGCGTTGCCTAGAAGTGGGCTTGCATGTCACAGTATTTTTCAATTTCTTCTAGCTTCCCTTATATCTTATAAAAGTCACGTCTGTCTCATTTCAGACCCTTAAACCTTCACAATTTTTACTTTCTTTCATTCTTGTTCCTCTCTTCCCCAACCTTTCAAAAGCACAGTAAACCTTCAAAATTTTTAGTTTCTCTCAATCTTTTTCCCCCCTTCCCTAATCTTTCAAACCAGAGTAGTAAATCCCATCTACTCTAGAGCCAGACTACGTCATACATTATGTAGGCAACTTTACGGGAGAGAAATCCCTGTATACATGTTTGAATTTCCCACCGACACACGAATGCCGGAAGTTTGTTGAAATAGAGCTCAGTAAATTTATAATTATGATATTTGACGAAACTGAATCCTTATTTCCATATTATATAATGTAAAGCAATATGTGCCACCTGCTGTAACATTAAAAGTCTCTGCATTGTGCTCACACGGTCTGCTCAAGCGTTTCGTTATAATTCTCATAAAGAGCAGCGATCGTTTTCATACACAGCATTAACCTGTAATGGAGACTGGGTGTGTTTTCTGCGACGAAATAAATGGATTTTGAAGAAGAAATACGTACTTTAATTTATCCCTGTAACAGTCCGTGAAGGCTCTTAGGGTTGTGAGGCGTCGAGGTTCCCACATTTTCCAGACATTCGGCTCACAGATGGCGGTGAGATTGTCAGCCTTACGCGCCGGTCGCTCTTTACTCCCAGGAAGATTCCTGGTACTCATTTCTGTTAGAGGCTGAGTCGACTCTAGGGCCATAGTGCGGCTGGAAGGATTAGGTCAATTGAAAAATTCAGTGACCACATGGGGAATAGAACTCGCGACCTTCCGGCTTGTAGCATAGTACCTCCACCAACTACGCCACCGCGTGCCCCCGGTACTCTAATGTATTAAATAAAATTATATTAGAATCTTTCTTTCCTTACATTTGTTTCCGTCTCAGTGTCTGCAGCCCATACTACACTGAAGTGTGATGTGTTGCGTGTGTTACAGGCGAACTGGTACAGAGCTGCTCAGTACTGTCGTTACCACGGGATGCACCTGGCGAGTATCAGCAGTCAAGAAGAGAACGACAAGTTGGAAAAACACATCAGGGATTTCGGTACAAATTAATTTTACTGATGCACTTTGAACATTTAAAAACAACTTTTAACAAATCGTCTACTTCCCAAAATACTAATTTTCGCTTATTATTATTATTATTATTATTATTATTNCACAATTAATACAATGCGATACATTCCTCCGAAACTTTGGCTATTCAACATCAAGACGAGTTTGGGGGCCCTCTCAGATTCCCGTCTAATGGGTACTTCGGGTACTTTTCACGACGTTACTGCCCGTCGACTGTTTCTCAACTAACAAAATTCTAGAATTGCCCTGCTTATAACTATTGATCACATCTCCCCATCTGTTCTTCTATTGTTGTATCACGTGGCTATCACTCGGATAGCGCAGAGAATACAAGTCTTCTGTTGCTATTTACGGCCATTACTTTGCAACAGCCGTTGTTTACAGAGTCATTACTACAGTATGTTAATGTTGAATATTAATGATTTGTTTGTCATAAGCAGGACTGGGCCACGAACATTTCTGGACATCAGGGACGGACCAAGCCGAAGAGGGTGTGTTCTTCTGGATGTCAACCGGTCGGCCTGTCACCTTCACTAATTGGAACACTGGAGAACCGAATAATTTTCGGTACGAGAACGGGGAAGAAGAGCATTGTCTGGAACTCTGGAACCGTGATGGGAAGGGTCTCAAATGGAACGATACGCCGTGCTCCTTTGAGACATTCTTCGTGTGTGAAGTGCCTTGACCTTAGTGGGTGTCGACTTGAATGTACATAGCTTTTCTCTCCGCCACGGGATTGCAGGCCAGATCGCGGTAACGTTCCACTGCAGTGTTAAGACGTCAACCCAACAAGGAATTCAGGAAGTCGCAGTACAGAAGTCTTAATGGAGAATATTTCAATTTGGTATTCTCAAGATTACAGAAATTGCACTGGTGGAATTTTGAAAGTGAAATTTTGAAATTTGAATTTTTTTACACTTCTGCAATTCTATTTGTGCTCCAAATTAAGGGAACAATGAGCTTGATTGAGAGTTGCTGCAAAAATAACACAGGGAATTCCAAATTCACATACAGTTAAATTGGTAAATAAGACCTAAACGTTTGTGGCGATGGCACATTGGTCGTATTACAGCTCTAATCAATCGTGTTTTCAGGGAAATATCAGAGCTAAGGAAATATTTTGTAAATGTGAGTTAAGTTGGCACTACAGCAATGTGAAATATTACTGTAATATTTTGGGACTCTAGTTATCTGTGAGATAACGTAATATGAACAATATTTGTTGCGTTATAACAACTAACTCTTTTACTGAAACTGTTTTTTAACGACTGTCGTTCATACTTGGGTGTCAACGTCACCATCTTCTTTTAAATACTGTGTAACCATGCTCATTCATTTAATTTCATTTTCATGTTCGTGTGTTTAAAGTACGAAATGCATATTTTGGGTATTGTATTCCTTACTCATGCAGTGTTATTATTTCACTAGTTTACAAAATTTAATTCTTTTATTGCAAAAATATATTACTTGAAACGTAATACAGAAATATTGAAGAGTTCTATCTCCAGGAATACGACATCGTGTAGCGTGTGACAGGAATGGGGACCGCCTCTGTGGTCTAGTGGTCAGACTTCCGGGTTCGATTACCGGCGCTACCAGATTTTCTGAGAAGTAGTGGGTCTGCAACGGGGTGCACTCAGCCTCGTGAGGATAATTGGGGAGTATTTCAAGGAAATAGAGGCTCCGGTCTAGAAAACCGAGATTAACGGCCGCGGGGATTCGTTGCGCTGACCACGCGATACCCTCTATCCGCTAAAGTTGGCACTAAATTCGCCGACAAGCGGCGGTCGCTCGGTCGGTATAGTTCCCTTGCGGACTAAAGCCATGGAGTGTTTTTTTTGTGACGGGGATGTATTACATCCACTTTCATGGTTGAAATATGATCCTAAATTATTCTTCAGCCCTGAAAATTTCAGAAGATACAGGACTACTCTTCAAAGTCATCTCTGTGAGAAATTTCGGCCTCACAGAACATCAAAACCTTGTTCATGTTTAAACATAGATTAGTCCATGCACATTTGTCAACTATGTAACATACTTTGGAAATATATTAGAACTCTCATTCAGTGTTAAGTTTATCCACTGGTAAATTGCTTTCTCCATAACAGATGTTTGATTGACTGCTTGATTTGTACTCTGTTCTGGAAGTGAACCGTTTCATCTTATGGAACAGCCAGAAATCAAATGGAACAAATTCGGGTAAGTGAGGAGAATGCGGAAATGAAAATGATAGATTCCATTTTTTGTCCTTAACAACAAAATTCCTAACATAAGAAATTCCCTCCAAACACAAATACTTCCATAACAGAGAGATTTGAGACCGGAAGGGAGAACTGTGTCCATAATTTTATACTCACAATTTTCGAAGTAGTTCATAGACTTTCTTTAAGTTACATAATCAAAATAACAACAATTTGAGGACTATACAGATAGATGGACAGACAAAGACGGATACACAGACGTGTAGGTAGATAGACAGAGACAGCAACGTCATCTCGTAAGCCTCAGTTTTATTCTTTCAAGATAAGGAAAGTACGCTAAAAAGGATTGAAAATAAAATATCCGTATATGCACTTGTTATTAATAAATATATTGAGAGTTAACACAGACATTCAAGAGGTGAAGTGACAGGGGGTTGGAGAAAACTATATAATGAGGAGCTTCATAACTTGTACTCTTCTCCAAGTATAATTAGAGTAATCAAGTCAAGGAGGATGAGGTGGGCAGGGCATGTAGCACGAATGGGGGAGACGAATACATATAGGATATTGGTGGGAAAGCCAGAAGGAAAGAGACCACTGGGAAGACCAAGGCGTAGGTGGGTGGACAATATTAAAGTGAATCTTAGAGAGATAGGATGAGATGGTGTCGATTGGATGGATATGGCTCAGGATAGGGACCAGTGGAGGGCTCTTGTGAACACGGTAATGAACATTCGGGTTCCATAAAATTTGGGATTTTCTTGAGTAGCTGCAGAAGGGCTCAGCTTCATAAGTAAGAAAGTAAGTAACAGACATACAGACACCACGAGACGGGGAAATTGAACGTTAAAATATTAAATATTCTTGTTCTGTAACTAGTCAAGATACGAATCAGATGAGAACGTCCAAATTCAAGGTCTAGAATGTAATAATGTGCTGCATGCTCAGGGTAGCGTTAGCGTAGTTGGTTGATACTCCATGCTACAAGCCGGAAGGTCGCGGGTTCAAGTCCCGATGAGGTCATTGGATTTTTTCAATTGGCCTAAACCTTCCGGCTGCACTATGGCACTGGGGTCGACTCAGCCTCTAACAGAAATGAGTACCAGGAATTAAGTACATAATTTTCCTGGGGAGTAAAGCGCGGCCGGCGCGTAAGTCTGACAAACTTACAGCCATCTTTGAGCCCATTGTCTAGATAATGTAGGGCCCTCAACGTCTCGCAACCCTATGGGCTTTCACAGCCTGTTACAGGGATAGCTTTACTTTTACCTTTACCTTTTACATTATTGCAATATTTTGAAGACTTAAATTTCCCTCTGAAAGTCTTCACTAATTCGAATGCGTTGTGGTTCTTAAATATATCACGAGGGGGCGCAATGATTGTGAATTTGCAGGAGATCCACAACGCCCAGTACGCAGTACATGCGGACGTGTAAGCCAAGGTTCAAATGACTTCAAGTGAAATTTCAGATAAGAGTCCTAATTTTACAGAGTCATCTGCAGAATATGTACTATCGTTCATCCGCCAATATTACTTTCTGAACCATAATATAAAGTCATTTAGATAACAAAACAAATTCGCTCATGTTGGTTAACCTGTTAGAACAAAACAAGTTTCGAGTATGGCGTCCGAACTTAGTTTGACAGTTTAGTTGGAGTGTGGCTTTCATTTACAGTGTCGTGTTTGACTTGTGCGTTTGGTGTGTAATGTTGTAGTGTGACTTAATTTGTGCCATACTTCTCTGATTTAGTTACAAAAGGTGTCATAAGTTGTAATTGTTAAAAAATCAATAAAATGTGTTCAAGTGTCGCGAGTTGCAGTGCGAAAGAAGCTGGATGCGCGGAGCCGTAAAGCAGTGAATCTGTAATGGATACATTGATTTGTGATGTCTGTGATAACTTGTCAGGAGTGCAGTCATGTCCTAGCTCACCGGGCTAGACACTCAACTTTAGGTTCAGAAGAGTGGTGTGGTCTCGGAATTTTCGAGGGTAACGACGTAATTGAAAAAGAAAATGAAAGTGAACCCCAGCGTCAGATTCCGCATAATGATGGATAATCATGTTGATTTAACATAATTTTACGCTTCATTATGGATGCAGTCTCAGAATGTGACAGTTTTAGAGCTCATAATTGTGGCGGGATGGAAGAAATAGACAAACACAGTTCCGGACAGTATTTATCCCGGTTTTCAAAAATCGTCAATTTAACCGTTGTGAAGTTAGAAACTATCGAATTAGGGCCGCAGCCGTGTTCCTGATTACATGTAGAGAACTCGTTTTTTTGTTAATGTGTGGTACCGTTTATATTTTCCGAAGTTGTTTAAAATATTGTGTAACGTGACAGTGGTTGTGAATGTTTTTATATTGAGTGTCAGAATTTCCAGTCACCTGTGAATTCAACGGTTTATCCACAAGAATGGTAGAAGTTTGATAGTGGAAAGGTATATGTTTTATGTTATTACATATCCATATATTTTAACTTCACAGTCTGTCTCTACCAATCTTTATTCCTGTTGCTCCCACTTGGAGCATAGGGCATCCTTGAAACGCGTGTGTTTCTTCAGTTGCTTAATCTTAGACAGTCCATAGGACTCCTTGGACAAGGGAGCAGCCCGTCACAAGGCCACTACCTTACATAAACACAGAATAAATTTAGACATACATCCATGCCTTTAGTGGGATTCGAACCCACAAGCCCAGTGTTCTAGCAGGCAAAGACATTTCATGCCTTAAACCATGCAGCTACAGCCACAGTGATCAGTTAACTTCATAGTAATGTCACGTAATTTCTAATTGAACGGCTGAGGCAGCATGTGTTTAGTTCTCAGGTGTGTCACCTAATATTCCTAAGTCTGGAACTTGTTCCACTTTAGTTTTCATCATAGGAGGAAAGAATGAACAGAACTGTGCTGTGGAAAATTTTATTTGGATATGCCTATTTTCTTTTGCTTGTCATTTTGTTAGTCTCAGACATTCATCCTGCAAGAGTTTATTCTCAGTCAAAATTAAAAATGGCCTGGTTTGCCGCAAGATATTCTTGCATGTGAATATGACCTTTGATGAAAGTGGTGGTTGTATGTACAGTGTTCTTGAATTTCAGTAACACTGCCCTTATTTAAGTCAATGTTATATGAAATAATAATAATGATGATGATGATGATCTTCACTTTTAGTTATCCTTATAGCATCATATCTTATGTAAATCGATTCTCAAGATTTTTTTTATAAGACTTGAACCAAATTATTACAGAGTTTTCATAAACGAATAATTACCGTTAGAATTGTTGAAGCCTGGTAAATAACAAACCATTTAATTCAGAGCTTACACCCTTGAATATTAACTGCACAGCGAAATTACTTCATAAAATAATTTTGGAGACAGGCCAAGGGTCTGTGAATCTGAGGAGATGTGTATGATTATGTAAGAAAAATTTTAGGGATTTTGTAGTACCTGGGAATGAGCAGGTATGTCACCACTGTATGAACTTTGCAGTAAGTGTGGCTAGCAGGAAGAGAAGCAGAAGAAGAATATTTTAGAGAGAACATGAATAACAGAGGAACTGATTTCGGCTTCTAAATTCAAGAGTCAGTGTTTTTAACTTTCCATTGAAATTTAAACTGAACAGTATCTGAATGGAAGCAATTTATCTGATTGGTTTAATTTATTCTGTATAGCTTGTACTCGAGTTCACATACAGAATTCAGATTTATGGAAAGAAACTCCATTGCATGAATGTGAACATTTTACAGAGGTGCAAGGAATTTCATTCATAATAGTGGAGGCCATTTTTGGCATCAGCCATGATCTAGGTGGGTTTTGTTTATGATTTGTTGGCTTATGGGCTTTTCAATTGCCCAGAAGGTCTGAACATGTATGGAAAAATTTAGTGTACCTTCTACCTTCAAAAGCCTCTGGACAGAATTGATTCCCAACAGAATTCTGTCAGTTCATTCTGTCAATGCGTTATTTCCAATTTCTTCTGTATTAGTCTATAAATTTTTTATTTTTGGAATTTGTAGGACCCATCCAGAGGTGTAATGGTAGCAGCTCTGTCCTTAGACTGCCACTCTGGCTAGCAACCATGGCTTATGATTGTGTCCAAGGTCAATGTATATTTTGTAACATATCAGAAATCCGAGTCATAAATTTAATGTTAGACAGAAATAGATCCTTTAATTTCATATGATACATCAGTTAGTAAAATGTTTGGTCAAGAGGTGAATGTCCAGGGTTCTGTTCCCACCTCCGGTGAGGATTATTCTTTTAACTGTCATATCCAGATGGGCCTTTTGCCCCTCCAGGTCTTTTATACAATAATTACAAAGGTATACATAAAAGACCCTATGCTTCATTCGAAGTGTAGGATTGTTGAGGGTATAATCAGAAGGGGAATCGAACCCTTAGCCTACCGGCTTATAGCATAATGTCTCAACCAACTACGCTGCCGCGTGCCCATTTCTTGACCGGCTGAACAATTTTAAATGTCCGCCTTATGTTTAAGTCGTGAAGGAGATATGGCTTCATGTGTGTTATAATTCATAGGCCAGCTGTATGACAAAAATCTGTAGTTGCTCATGCAATAAATAATATGCATCTCCCGCCTCTCCTCTGTCCGTGTTGCCATCCACTCACGGACACAGAAAACTTGTTGCACTCATGAGAGTTACTGCCAGTAGACATGCAGTTCTGACACGCTCCAACATAGAACAAAGCAAATGCGAACTTCGATAATCCAACACGTGGGCGTCTAACAAACTTGCGTACATTTGCACCTCATAATTATGTTTCTCAGGACATTTATTTCAATTTAATCACAGTCAGTACACATACAATTTAGTCGACACAACGACTACGCTACGGACTGGACAACCGAGAATTCGGGGTTCAGTTCCTGGTAAGGGCAGGAGAGTTTTTTCTCTCCTTAACGTCCAGATCAGCTCTAGCATCCACGCAAGTCTCCTATACAATGGTTACCGGGGGATATTTTCCTCGGGGTAAGGCGGCAGGAGCGTGAAGCTGACCCCTCATCTCCATTTAGTGCCGAGTTAAGAATGCTGGAGCTATACCTCCACTCCCCATAACATCTACATGGCTTCGTGCTTAATTAAGCACAGGGCCAACTTGACCTATACCTTTTAAACAAATATTTCAGTAGTTATCGCTGTTAGGCGACGGGCTGGACAAATGAGAAGTCAAGGTTCGGTAGTAGCGAAAAGAGACATCCTTCTTCTCCGTAACGTCCAGACCCGCACTGGGGCCCACCCTATCTCCTATGCAATGGGTACCAGGGGCTGTTTCCCTAGGGGTAAGGCGGCAGGGCCATGAAGCTGACCTCTCACCTCCATCTAGTGCCGAGATTAAAATTGGTGTAGCTATACCTCAACTCCCATGTACGTCTTCATGGCGTGATGCCTAATTAATTAAGCCGAGGGACTGATTTAATTTTAACCACACATAAACAAGTTGAAGATAACCAATGCTATTAAAGCTTTCCTACATACAGGCCGTCAATTTTGACCTGGCCACTAGGTTGCGCGTAAGAAGTGGTAAGTATGGGAAAGGGTAGCGGCACAGTGTTTCCAGCTGCATTGTGGGAGGGAGGGATTGTGACGCTCTTGAATTGAGGCTCCGTTATAACCCATACACACCCCGAAGTCCTTCCCACAGTTAGTGTACTCGAATAACTCCAGTGCGCATTCTATTGAGAATGGTCAGGTCTCTGAAACATAGGCCGTACTTTCGTGGGAATATGTAAAAAATTAGGGGATATCTTTCCAGTTCTCCTGTGTACATCAGTGTACATTATCACACATCTTGATAAGATCTCGGGCTATCAGCTCTGTCATTTGGTTAAAAATTTCCGACGTTTCAGGAACCAACTCTTGTCTCCACCATCAGCGTCTGATCAGGTAGAGACGGTCCCTGAAACGTCTAATCTTTAACCAGCTGACACGGCTGATGGCCCTAGTAGATATTACCAAATTCAGCCGCCATGGAAGCCATGTTATATCCCATAAAAGTAAAGAAAAAAGTAAAAGTATCCCTGTAACAGGCCGTGGAGTTGGTTGAGGCACTATGCTACAAGCCGCAAAGTCGCGGGTTCGATTTCCGATGAGGTCATTGGATTTTTCATTTGACCTAACCCTTCGACCCTGGGGTCGACTCAGCCTCTAACAGAAATGAGCACCAGGAATCTTCCTGGGAGTAAAGGACGGCCGGCGCGTAAGGCTGACAACCTCACCGCTATCTGTGAGACGATTATCTGGAAAATGTGGAAGCCTCGAGGTCTCACAACCCTATGGGCCTCCACGGCCTGTTACAGGGATAGCTTTACCTTTTGTCATTAATTCCTTCCATACTGTCACTTTGTATGTAGTTAGATCCGTTACATCACCGATTAGTTATTTTATAGATGTTACATTTTTGTGGTGTGCATTCTTCGTTAATAGAAGGAAGTGGTTTGTAGGTAGTATGAAAATCAGTTTACTTAACGATGATGTATGTAACTCGGACTAGACATAGTATCAAATGATTGCATAATAGTGAATAGTCAATTGGAAGGGATGTGGAAGGAAGCGGTTGTGGCCTAATTTAATGTATTATCCGGGGATGTAATTGGAAGAACTGAGGAAAACTACGAAAAATCTCTTTTGGAATATGGAGTGCCCCAACCGAGATTCGAATCAAACACCTGAAATTAGGTCAAAATAATTATCGGTTGAGCCAACTTGCTCAATAAAATGAACACGTTTTACCTAAATAGTTCACCAGATAAAAGTTTTAGTCTACAGGAGCCTGAATGGGTAATTATAAAACACAAAATGTTAGCAGGTGTTTTTTTTTGGCACATTAGAATGTAAAGTTGTAAAAGTGCGCCTATTACATGCCCCATGTCAGTTTGTGCGTTTGTTTCCCTGTATGTAACAACTGGAGAACAGTTGAACCGATTTTCATGAAATTTCACACTGGGGAGTTTCTTTAATTTTTTTTGAACATAACATTTTTTTTTGGTTAAAATCCAACAAAAGTAGTTGAGACTTTACATGAAGACCTGCATTTGTTTCTTCCCTCGTCTCTACCGGACTCGCACGCAACTCATTGCATATTTATAGCAGCGACACATGTTTCGAATAAAAGTTGAAGAGTAGAACGAAAGACACATTCTGTGCCAAATAAATTTGTTTCCACGAGTTTTCATGTGTTCTAGGTAATTAAAAGAGATGGAAGGAACGCTTTATAATTGTTATGTTTTATGACATTTTTTATTTTTGATAGTGTTGTCGTACTAGGGCCCTTGTACTGCGGCCACTTCTGGTCTATTGTACCAGCCCCAGATGATAGGTGAGGGTGATTGTGGAGCAATTGGTGGAATGAAGATTGGCAGGGGAAACCGAAGTACTTGGAGAAAACCTGCCCCAGCGCCACTTTGTCCACCACAAATCCCACTTGACCAGACCCGGGATCGAACTCGGGCCGCCGCGGTGGGAAGCCAGCGACTAACTTCTTGAGCTATGGCGCGTTTATGACAGTTTTATGACAGCATAAACCAATAAAACTAAGTTATAATATAGTTTTTGCCCATCTACCATTATTCCTTTATTTTTAGTAACAGCCCTTTTAGTTTTATTTTGTTTCATAAAGGAAAGTGATGATACACCACACAGTTGCAGGCTGTGAAGAAAACTTGAAAGGAGCATATTATTGCACGTCTTCTGCATGTATGCTTGGCCTTTGCTACCATAATGATATAACTAGCTTCATGATCCACGCTTTTCTTGGAACGTCAATAAATTTCTCAGCTGCCAAGGAACTCGCCATTTTTATGGAAGGGAAAGGCTTATTACCATGTTTACAAAAGGCCATAATTGGACTCTATGCTCATCCAGCTCAATTCAGTATATATTTTCACTAATATTCACACAAGTATTTTCCTTATGTCTATTCCTGTGTCTAACAAATGATCTCTCCCCCATAGGCTCTCTCTGCGTCTTCTCTGCGCATACTATATTTCCTGCTCATCTTTTCAAGATAATATTGGTTGAGTACTGGTTATGGAGCTATGTATTTAATTAATTTTCTCAGTGCTTGTAATATATCCTGTCTGTACATTCATCTGACAAGTTTATAACTCATCCTTAATATGTTTTCTTACCTTAGAGTGAGAGACCAAGTTTCACACTCAAACTGAACACAACTTCATAGGGACTCAAATGTAATTGCTTGCTTCCAGGATGGGGAGCCTGGCTGGGCCGCCATGAGCGAGCTGCAGGCGACAGTGGAGTTCTCCGTGGAGCTCTACAAGTTCTACAACGTGGATCTCTTCCAAAGAGGGTACAGTGTCTTTCAGACCAAAGTATAAGTTGTCTGTTGTAGCTAGAGGTCAGGAGTTTTGTGACTGAGGAGACACCAGTTCTTAGTATCTCAGATTAGATTCCAGCAAGGTACAGCCTTCCCTTCATGCCCTTCCGGCAGCCTTTCGCTTGTTCTTGCTAGAACTCAGGAATCAGGAGTTTTGTGACTAAGGAGATACCAGTTCCTCATATCTGAGATTAAATGCCAGCAAGATGCAGCCCTCCTTTCATACCTTTCTGACAGTCTTTTACCTGTTCTTGCCAGAACTCAGGAGTTTTATGACTGAGGGATCAATAGTTCTCATTTCTTGAGTTTAGATTCCTAATACAAGGAATAGTATATGTTACTGTCTCGTCACCAAAATGCAGGGCAAAATCATGACATAAAGATAGGAAACAGATGTTTTGAAAATGTGGCACAGTTCAGATATTTGGGAACAACGATAACAGATCGAAACATGATTCAGGAGAAAATTAAGAGGCGATTGAACTCGGGTAATGCTTGCTACCGTTCAGTCCAGAACATTTTGTCTTCTCGTCTCTTGTCCAAAAACTTAAAAATTAGAATATAGAAAACTATAATTTTGCCTGTGGTTCTGTATGGGTGTGAAACTTTGTCTCTGACGTTAAGGGAGGAACATAGACTGAGGGTGTTTGAGAACAGGGTGTTGATGAGAATATTTGGACCGAAGAGAGATGAAGTGACATGAGGTTGGAGAAAACTGCATAATGAGGAGCTTCATAACTTGTACTCTTCTCCAAGTATAATTAGAATGATCAAGTCAAGGAGGATGAGATGGGCAGGTCATGTAGCACGAATGGGGGAGACAAGGAATATGTATAGGATATTGATGGGAAAGCCAGAAGGAAAGAGACCACTGGGTAGACCAAGGCATAGGTGAGTGGACAATATTAGAATGGATCTTAGAGAGAAATGATGGGATGGTATGGATTGGATAGATCTGGCTTGGGATAGGGACCAGTGGAGGGCTCTTGTGAACACTGTAATGAACCTTCGGGTTCCATAAAATGCTGGGAAATTCTTGAGTAGCTGCAGAATTGGCGGCTCGTCCAGAAGGGCTCAGCTCCATGAGTAAGTAAGTAAGTAAGTAATACAAGGAATATGGCTAGAGGCATCCTTCCCGACGTACTCATCCAGCAGTCTTTTTCATCAAGAAAACATGAAATATATGGCTTCGGCTACTTTCAAAATTAATGATTTTGGAGAGATTCGGTAGCTTTTATTTAGTTTTGCAATTGGGAAGTGTGTTGGAGGTAAAGCGATGATTGGCTGAACAGAGGAGTGGGATGCTAACCAATAGGGACAAATTGTGTAATTTGTAAAAAGATGTGATAAAACGTTTCAACAACATTCAGCAACACCTAGTCCCACACATTAAGCACAAGCTCTGAAAGCGTGATGACTACAATAAGTAAAATCTTACAGAGTGACTGTTAGATTATTAAATGATGCTCTTTCATCTGCAGAGATTATGTAGTGTTGTGTTTAGTGATTTTGGATGTGTAACAGAAAAGGCTTTGAAAGGAACCTATTATAGAGTACTTATTTTAATTGCCTCACTTGGCATTCACGAGGAGGTTCTGGGTTTGAATCTTGGACTGGAGATGGCTTCTCTGATTGAGGTTCATTTCTGGTGTTCTTCATTCTAGGCAGATGCTCCTTCTTTCCTTATCCTTCCCAGTTCATGATTTGCAGTGATCACTATATTCTGCAGTTGAAAAGGATCGTTAAGTGATCCTTGTTGTATTGGCCCAAGAATTAACACACTTTTAGAAACATTCCCATTCTCCGCTCCAAATCAATTCCTGAATAAAATAACAGCAAGGAACACCCTGTTTTGAAGAGTATCCTGACCTGTTGTATGTATAGATGAAGATAAGTACTTTTATTTGGAGGCCAGATTTTGAAGTTACCGTTCCTGGCCAGACAGCCCTCTGAGAAAAACTTTAAAAGTTTTGTTTGGTAAATGTCAGTTGAAGTGTACTGTCATCAGGGTTGTAGATACATATAGTATGGTACAAGTTTACAGATATTTCAGAGGAATGTACTCCCCTTGTTTGCTGCTATGTGTTTCTGGTTGCTTCCTTGGCTTGCTCTTTGATCCTGATGATGGAGACAGTATGATCCTCTGAAACGCCACTGAACATCTACCAGACTACACGGCATCACATTCCACAAGATAATACACTTCATAGTTCCCACTGCGAGAACAGAGGTGCAGATTATTTAAAAATACATTAAAATAGCATTAACAGATTGATACAGACAGGATATCAAGGCAAGAAGATGTGCATTGAACCAAAATTGGAGTGGACTCAACTGGACTTCCAGACATGAAGTTTGCAAGTGTAATAAATTAAAAGAAAAAGTAAATATATTCTTGGCCTACAAGTTTGGGGTTCCATCTCTCACCTGGTTCTCTACTGGTTACATAAAAATTTTGTATTTGTATCAAAATAATTATTTTTGCTCATAATTATTTTCTATGCTTACAATATGTGCTGTAATACTATGTATGAAAAAGTTCAAAATTTTATAGAAGGCCTCTTGTCAGTAACATCTGAATATTTCTTGAGTTATTATTATTATTGTTGACTTGGCACATAAATAATAAAGAATTGAATTGAATTGAATTATTATTATTATTTTCCTCGTGGGGTGAGACTGAGTCCACTTGGTACTGCAGCCACTTTTTGGCCTATTGTACCAGCCCCTGCTGATTGATGATTGTGGAACAATCGGTGAAACGCAAATTGGCAGGAGAAACTGACGTACTTGGAGAGAACCTGCTCCAGTGCTACTATTTGTTCACCAAAAATCCCACATAACTTGGGTGGGAAGCTGGCGACTAACTGCCTGAGCCATGGCACGGCCCCTTCTTGATGCATGGTTGCATTTTTTCGTGTTATTCATTTCGTTTCTTGACGTCCTCTCAACATTTTAGCAGATATTCCAGTTGCCATCTCCAGGGTGAATGTCGCAGACAGGTAGAAGCATTGTAGGAGTATGTGTCACTCTCAGGAAAGGGGTTAGGAATGGAAGAGAAGTCACGTGATCAGTTGATGTGTTGCTCTGGATTTTAATCAGTTGACTACGTCATGAAGTTTTGAATGAAGACAAAAAAGGAGGTTCCCCTAGATTTTACTCAGTAAATAGTTCTGTTGGGGTTGAATTGTTTTGATAACTATTTTGATAGAGGTTAGCAGCCTTGTAGTTTCTTCACGAGGTATGCATTTTGAATTCTTGCCAAGGATCTAAACTTTTGCCTGCGATATTTTGCAGTTTCCATCAAAACCAGTAAGAAGATATGGGATTGGTACCTTAAAATAGCCATGCACGTTGCAGTCAACATCAGACAATTGGCTATTCAGTTCCTCATATCTGTGGAACCTTTCACGTATATTTGATTAACCAGAGTTATAAAAGATGAAACCCATGGTTCAATTAATTTAAATTCTGCACACTAATTTCAACGCAGTTTTTGAATTCATTCTTTGTTACAACTCATGTTGATTTTCTTTTATTTTATGAATTTATGATTTATCTGAGAGCACTGTCGTTAGCTCGGATTTCACAGCCTCAAATGATAGGGAGATTAATAAGTAATGAATTCGAAAACCTGTGTAAGAATGCAGGCATGGCCTTCCTTGAGACACTCTGCCAGACTTTGCCTGGAGGGACTGAGAGAAACCACGAAAAATCTCAAGTCAGGATATCCGGCCTCTGGCCCGATATTTGAATCTTGGGTCTTCCTAAACACAAAGCAGGAGTACTTCCCGCTCGTCCGTGACCTATTGATACAGTGGATGGGCATTGTGACGCTAGATAAAGATGGAGATTCGTAGTGTAATATGCGGTGAGAATTTATCAGGAGGAGCACGTAGTACTGACTTTCCCTGATTTCTCTCGTGTTCCTTTCCAGTCCTACATGTTATCGAATGATACGTCGAGCCCTACGTTTAACCGCATCTCCCACGAATGACAAACATACACTCGTATACCGCCTCCTTTATATAATATACTACACTTCACATATCCACATAAAAATATTTCAGAAACGTGTACCAGGAATCTTTCTGGGGTTGAAGGGCGGCCGGCTAGCGCATAAGGCTGACAACCTTACCGCCATCTGTGAGTCGATTGTCTAGAGAATGTGGGAACCTCGACGTCTCATAACCCTATGGGCTTCCACGGTTTGTTACAGGGATAGGTTTACTACCCTGCTCAGTTCTGACAGAACAAACACGGTACACTGAAACAAAAGCTTACTACATAGCTTGTGTTCATGCGACGTGTTAACGCTCGACAATTCGTTGCTCCTCTAACCTGAAATTGCGTAATGACAATGATAAACCTCAATCTTAATTTTTTTTTAATATTGGATGGATTTTTAATTTCAGTTCCTACTTCGCAGAAAACACTCTGTCTTCCTTGTATACTGGTTAATGAAGTCAAAGGAAATAATTGTATTTTATTCTGAGAATCGTATGTTACACATCAGTGCATTCTGTGGGCACAGTGCGGAGTCTTTTTAGTGTTAATTCAGGTGGTAAATATACTACAAATTGCGCATGAAAGGGTTAAGAATCACAGGTTGATAATATCGTAATTTCGGTTAAATTTTGAGGCTAACACCGTGCTCTGCATAGGAAATCTGACAAGTTACTCGACTGTTTTCTGACAAACTTCCTTGCACAGAAGCCAGGTATTCAGGGAAGGGATCATTTCCCGAGTTACGATGAGGTTTCTTCCCAACATTCCTTTCGTACATTACCGATCCGTGAAGCCTGACATGTGCTGTTCTCTGATAGGCTAATCAGTTCTCTATTTAAGTGCAGTGCAGTGTTTTCTGTAACCTCGGCAGTCTGATTTAGACTGAAGGAAACAAACCTTTACGACGACTTGGTGCCAAATAACTTTAACTCTGTTTCTTGTCAGGTTAGCTTTCTGGAGAAATG